GTATGTGTGGTATGCACTAATGCTCACACAACGGTGCGGTAGTAGCAGTCCTCCGTAGCGAAGGGGTTAATTATGGTAAAAAATGATATTACCTGGCAAAATGCTGCATGAGGAATCTAAGAATGGCTAGCCTGATGGGGGAAAGCTTGTTGAAGAATTCTGGCATCGCGTCGAGGAATTCCTCAGTACTTTTCCCTGCAGAGAGTCCAAAAAAAAGAAAAAAAGAACACAATTGCTGGCAGTGCGTGTATGAGGGATCCCACAGAAATCTGAAAACCAACACGAACCCTCGCACCAACACAGCGTCTCTTTGCCTCAGAATACCAGACGGAGTGATGCATCAACAACAAAGAGCTAGATTGGGTCTTTCCAACGCATCCTCTTTCCACCATGGTAGCTCTGGCGACTTCCAACTTCTTTTCACAGAGCAGGCCACATATGTGTGCACGCTTTTTTGGATCCATCCTTGGAAAGAGCTGTTGCAGAGATGCCAACTTTTCAAAATGAAAAGTGTAATCCTTTTGCACTTCCAGTTTCGGTTTCCCGACTGACCCTAATTTTTTGGCGTGACCCAAAAAGTTTTCATAGGCAAATTAGAAAAAAAATTGAAAAAAAAAAAAGTTTAAAAAATGTTGTTGTCTTTTCTTTCAAAACAAACACCTGTCAACTTATTTACATGTACAAACACTTGTATTTACCTGACTAGCATTGTGCAAGTGTAAATTGTAATTAATTGTTCATTATATTTCCGCATTTATTCTGGTAAGTTTTTATTTTAATCATTTTTGTGGCAATTTGTGGCAACTTTCGTCCCAGTCAATCTACTGACCCTATTTAATCGGTAGCAGAGCTATTTTTTCTTGGCCTAACTAATGTGCTTCTCGGTGTTTGAAACCCACTTACATAATGCATTATTGCATGATGTGACAAGTACATGTACCATGCCAAAAGTGAGGCTTAAATCGACGTGTCAACATCAGCATTTTTTTCCCTCAAATAAACTGAAAGTCAAGACAATTAATTTGGGCAGTAAATTAAATTAACCATTCAAACTTGATCATTCCAACAGAAAATGGACTAAACCCAAAGGGCCTCTACAATTTGAACCAATGACATCATCAACACATATCCTTTCCCCTTAATAACCATTACACAATGCAAGCCAGCTTGACCAAATTGTGTTTTGTTCTTTTGTGTCCACGAACCCACAAAATATGCAGAAGCTCGTAAGTAACACACGTGCCAACTGTACTCTGCTACTGGCAGGCTTCGACCATGGCCTTGCGCTTTAAAAGCCTTATTTCAGCGGTGGGGAATCGGATCGGTAAGCCCCCTAGAATCACTGAACTGTTCACCGACCTTTGAACATCTGAAGCAGCTCCGACTGCAGCCCGTGCGGTATGAGGGGATCGGGCAGGTTCTTGAAGAACGCCTTGACGGCAGACGCCACGGCGTGGCAGGATACCTCCATCGAGTAGATGGAAATATTCGGATCTGGCGGAAAGCAATAAAGCAAAACTGAGAAACTGCAACAATTTGATTAGGAATTTTACTCAGATGCTCCTTCTGTGGATGTTCTCGTTTGGGCTCGGTAAATCAGAAACGCAAAATCTTTTTTTATTTAGGCATAATGAATGGGGGAAATTAGACATTTAATAGGCAAAGTTTCATTTTTATCAAATCTTTTCCAAAACGAAACAAAAAAGAAAATGTTAGCCCTTCTCCCGTTACTTTTGACGACAAGAACCCTGGAATTTTACTAGCTCTCTGGCAAAGACTACATGTATGAACCATAAGAAAATGTAGGTGCATTTTCAAAAGCCTTGAACTTTTCAAAAATTCATTAACTGGGCGGCTTTTTTTTTTTAAAGTTTTCATCTTTGTAAGGACTTTCGACACAGAAAGAAGAACATAATTTTTGTCTTCAGAGGACTGAAATCTGTGGGATTGCTTAGGGCTAGTTTGACCTCCAGCCCAGGGTCTTTTCGTCTTACCTTCCTTGAACTTTGTGGTGAGTAGATCACAGTCAGCTTGCTTTCCGGAGACGCGGTAAATACCTTCTTGTGTGAGTCCTGTACAGGGTCCCAACAAAGAAAGGAAAAAGATTACCATGATCCCTAACAGTTCCTTGATTGTACTTTAGACCCAATCGACAATCCAGGCCGCGACAACCGCCGTGCCTGAGCAAGAGCTTACAGGCTGTGAGAATCTGAGGGAGGTCCATGTGCATGTGCATATAAAAATTGTGAAAATTTACAGACATGAAAATTGTCAACTGACTGTAATTCAATAGAAATGGAGCTACGGCTCCGTAAATGTTCCTAGAATATCTTGGCTTCCATTGGCATAAACAAGACCGTGATTGTTTTATGTCAACCACCCACAACTCAGACTGAGAGGCACCAGGGCTCAACCTACATGTTCAACCACTTGACACATCTCTTAGGGCAATTATGAACATGATGAAACGGGTGGCTTCGGCTTAGTCTTTGGCTTCACTGGTACCAGTCGGCATGGTCGGAGTCTCCTCAAATGGCTGAAACCAGCAAAGACTAAGCCTAAGCCACTCGTTTCGAACGAGTCCGACTTGGAAACAGGGTCAAGTGTGTGTGAAAATGGCCTCACAGAAGAGCTTCTGTTGAGTATTTTGAAAGTGGCGTGGGGTTGGACTAGCGAGCTGCCGGAACCCACCTTCTTTATCGATGAACTCGATGCAGCGCTGGACAAACTTGGGCACGGGGTCGTCCTCACCCACGATATCCTCCAGGGCCTCACCCTTGGGCTTGGCGTCCAGGTACGGGGCATAGGCCGGCGCCTTCTTCTTGGCCTTCTTCTTAGACTGTTGCCGCTGCTGCTGGCGCTGCTGCTGCCGCTGCGCCTGTTTAGCGACAAAACGTGATCCGAGAAATGCGTAAGACAGATGAGCAAATACTGGGCCTCCTGCCAGCTGGCTTAAGGCACGAGAGCCAACATGCAAAAGTTAAACTGACATAATCTCAAGCGACTTTCCCTGCTACTACATGTATTTTCTGTTGCAGTCACGTTGAACGCTAAATCTTTGCAAGTCAGTGCAAGGCCATCGTGAGCTATCCCGTTCGAGGTCAAATTCCAAGTTTTTTACTTGAATGGCCTGTGCATTGCATATAATCTGAGATTTACACTTCCCGCTCAACTCAAGCAAAAATCTCATCGTTACTTGGTTTCAATAGTTCATCCTCTTTCATGTTTTAAAGTATTGTAATCCTCACTTTCTGAAGGTTGTCAAAAAAAAAAGGCTGCACCATGTGCCAAATTCCAAGGTTTTCAAACACCACACAAGCAGATGACGTATCTTGCTAGCAGTACTATAGTTTGATTTTATAACACACCTCTTCCTATCCTGTTGGCTGAAATGGTCTGCAGGTTCATTATATAAGCTACCGCATGAAGCTGTCAGCGTGAACAAGATGCGCATCAAAGTATAGTGCTGATCAAGCAAGACTTGCAAAACCATTGACTGGTTACAGCGCCCTCGATTATAAAAACCCTCAAAAGGTTTCTTTTCTTGTTTCATGTTTTGGACAGAGGTGTTACAAAACACACGTGGACGGGCCAATTTGGTCGCCAGTGAAAGTGTATATCCCCCTCGGGGCAGCAAGTGACCAGAAGAGGGTCTTATTTCCTCTGGAAGGATAATCCGACTTTGGTCAGTGACCCCCACGGCCAGTCCAAATGTGCATAGTGCAACATAAAGCAGCCATCACCCCACTACTGAACGACCTGCAATGTGGGCTACAGTGTCCCTACACCAGAGCAGAAGAACCAGTCTAGGCCGCCCATTCAACCATGCGGAAACAATATGACGATCAATATTTGCAGCGGTGACCGACAGGAAACCACTTGAGGGCAGAGACATATGTAACAATGCAGAGATACTTTGTGACATAGTAACACACAGGATGTTTATGCCCACATTTCCTTTGGCAAATTCTGTCAGTAGAGCTTGGTGATGCACACACGTACACATTCCCTGTGCTTGAGTGATTCTCAAAGAGTTTTGTGCACACAGGGGCTAAGACTAGCCCACGCAGGTCGAGCGTGTGTGGAGCCAAAACAGCCGTGGGCCACGGCTGAGCCTTGTTGCAAATATCGCTTCCAAACACTGTTATCGAGTTTCAAGTACGCAAAGATATGGAACGAAATATTGCACAAACCTTGAACACATGACCACGAATGGCTAGCACCTGTAAAGTCTAACTTTGCGAAGGACTACGGAACCATTCATTTCAAACAGGAAGAATTTTGGGCCAGAAGTAATACCATTCCTTGGATGAGTTTTTTGTGCGATAATACAAGTAGTTAAACCGTTGAGCGTTCTCCAAGTTTCTGGTGGTGGACTAGTACTTGTCTAGTTCCCTGATTGTTTTGTATGTATATATGACATCCCTAGAGTCTCTGGATGTGGACTGTTTGTGCTGAGCTTTGAATCGACTGCTGTATGTGGCCAGTCACAGTAAATATTGCTCTGTGGAAGAGCATGGAATTGTGACAAAATATGAGGTTGGGGGAGGAAAATTGAACACAAATAACGCTGGCATGTCTCTCGACAAACAATATTTGTGGTGCTTGACTAAATTTTTAAAAGTGGGCCTTTCTCAAAGGTTAAGTTTTTTCCAACCAAAAATCACACCATCTAGAAGTAGTTAAAACTGGATGCCTGGTGACCAGGAATATTGTGTTGGAATGAAAACTGGTCACGTGCGTTTTGAGCCATGTGCCAAGAAACCTCCGCGTCCGGCAGTTTGACGGCCCAGCAGCACTTCCATCCAAGTAAGGACGAGACTTGTCTGGTTCACACAGAGACACCGAGGGGCAAAAGGGAGCCACGGTTCTTTCGTTGACGCACATTACTCTGTAGTATCGCAGAGTAAAGTCAAAGTAAAGTCTTTACTGTGAGCGAGCAACAAACTGAAATGCGGCGCAGTTTAGGTGGTGCCTAATTTTGATTAGTCACAGAAACCCAACTCTGCAGCAGGAGGGAAAGGGGTGGGGGTGGGGTGTGGTGTGGTCTTGAGGGGGTGAAATGCTGATGCCGGTACTCAGCAGGGGTCAAACGGAGGGCCCAAATCGGTTTACCTTCACCCTCTTCTTATCGGCGGCCTGCTTTCGCTTTTCTTCCTTCTTGCGATTTTTCTCCTCCTCCCGAAGTTGCCGAGTTCGGACTTTGGGGTCGACCTGACAAAATCAACCAATCAAGGAAGACCAAAAGAAAAAAAAAAAAAAAAGGACAGACGGGGAAAAAGAAAAGGGGAAATAAAAGAGGGTTTGGGAGAGAACAAAACTTGCACAGAACAAAATGCGCTCTATTAAGTTAGTATCTTTTTAAAAATTTCACATCACCTTGGCTGTGAATTCCTACAGAGCCATTTGTATACATCCATTTATGGTCCCAATCCAAACTTGGCCGTACCTCGTAGCTACTGAACTGCCTTCTTCCACAAAATATCTTCAGACTCCAAGCAAGCCCCTGCAATCTAAAGGCCGGTTCATACTTGGTGCGAAAGCAAACTCGAATGCGAAATGGTGACGTCAGATCAAATATTCACATTGCAAATTCGTTAAAGTTTAACACACATTTCAACTTGGGCCTAATTTCGCCACGACTTTTTCGTGACGTCAAATTTACTTCCTTTTCGCATCCGCCTGAAGTATGAACGGGCCTTAAGGTTGCAGTTCAGCTGTTAAGAATCGAGCCATTATCCCACACTAATTCTATGATTTGACGGTGCAATTCCGGGAAAATTATGAGTGGTCGTTGCAGCACATAAGCAAGCTGAAAGGTCTCCAGTTAAAAATTGGGTGCGGATAAACACAATCATTTGAGCACTGCAGATCGATGGTATCAAACTCAAACAACGCAACAGTACGAAAAAAAAATCCAATGCTAAACAGCTTTCAAAATTCATTTCAGCTCCTGTATTTACCCGATACTACGCAACTTAATGCAACTGGAAAAGAGACTACAACAGTCACATTCCTTTCCAAACACTCTCCTTGGGATTAGCACTGATAATGGAATAAGTCTAGGCACCAGACATGATTTTGATCATATTCTCCCAATGCTCATATGATGCAAGATATGGGGCTGAGAGAGCCCCCCCGCCTTTGTGTTGGTCATTGTTTGATTGGAATCTCGGGAATTCTTGACAGACTTCTAGGGGGGATGTGTTAGGTTACAATAGTCTAGAGTGGTATTGGGCAAGGTGTCCCAATGCTTGCCCAGTACCTGACTATGAAGTGTAGCAACAGGTGTTACTGTTTGATTCCCCAGAAACAAACAAACTGTTGGGAGGCCAACATTTACCTGAAAATTCCCCTCGGTGCTACTTCTTCCTCACAAAAAAAGGAATTGAAAGCGGAAGTCAGAAAGGGAGTGTTCCAAAACGAAAATGATTGTGCAGAGTCTAACACCCTCCTTTACTGAAAACCACCACACAACCAACTAGATGCACACATACAGAAAACTCTCCCCTTTGCAGAGAGAATGGCATGATTCCGCTTACCCCTTCACTACCCGGCGAGAACACCACCTGGTCGTAGGTGCGGTCTTCCGTGTTCCCCTGGGGGAGGGGGCTGTTGTCGTTGAACTCGCCTGGGGGCACCAGGTCCCTGTTCTTGTTCTTCCTGCGGAAGCTGCCCCGCTTCTTCCGGTGGGCGTGGTCTCGGTCCGCCTCGGCGCTCCCTTTGCTGTCGCTATCGCTGCTCGTGTTTCCTGCACAGAGGACAACGATTTTTACCGCCGGTCAGTGCCAACCAAAAATTTGTCCTCGTCAACAGGTCTTGTTCCCAGACAAAAAGATTTTGACTACCATGACAGATCTGTCAGAGACTTGTGAAAATCTCCTATACTTTTGTACACAGCAAGTGAGGAAAAAAAAGCTGAAATCCAAAACAAAAGAAACTGAAATCAGCTGAAAAGCTGAGAAATCTCACCCCTGATTTTTAGATCCGGTAGCCATGGCAATTAAAAAGGAAAAATTCCTCCCTCCCGTTGTCTACGTGCCCAGAAAGAGAAGGCAAAATAAGGCAGGGGGGTTCAAGGGTAAACACCCCTGAAAACGAACGCTACCTTTTGGCAGTTGCTTCTCGAACTCATTGACGACCTTGCCAAAATTGCTCTTATTGACGGTGGCGTAGACAGCTTCCTCATCCCCGTCGTCCGCAGCATGAACCCTGTGACCTCGTTGTCTCTGGTGTTAAAGGAAGAAGAAAACTTGATGTAAAGTCAAAATAAGACTGAGAGCAATTGATTTAGGTGCTCGAGCAAAGTCTAGCCCAGTGAGAGGTGCAGAACACAACAGATGGGTAAAAAACTCCACCTGGCTTCGGAGAGTTCTATTGAAAACCCGGTAAGTTCTGGATATCAATAGGTTATAGACAATCAATTTTTGCCTATTCAATTATCCTTTTCTAGGGCCTTTTACTGTGAAAAAGGGTGCATGGTCAGTCCCACTTTGCAATCAAGAAAGAACTATGGGTTCAGAAAATGTTCACGACTACGTCCAAATTTTTGTATCAAAAAGGTTTCCAGCATCAATTTCACACGCCAAGTTTAATAAAAGCTTTTTTTTTCTCCCTTAAGAAAACCTGTATCTGCATCACGCATGCAAAGCCCAACTGTAGTCTAAAGAACAAAATTTAAGCAATGATTACGTTCTTGTTTTTCTTAATACCTAGCGCCAATTTCAGGATGATGGTACAGCAAAAGAATTTATTCTCTTAGCAAGTTGGCATGCAAGGCAAAAGCCGGCCAAATCAATCTCAACTGTTTGACAATTTTGCTTCTTTCAGCTAACTGTTACTATGGTCATCATCAATCTCATCAAGAAAAAAAAAAGCAACGGAAACTCTCTTACTTTTTTTCTGCTTGCAGCCACGTTTTTCACCCTTCTTTAAATAACAAAATGTGTCTTGGCTCATAATAGGAACTCACATCGGGTGCAAACAGGGTTTAACAATGGGCAAGTCTGGGTGGAAAATATAGTTTTGACCACAGTCACACTTGAAAAAAGCTGGCCGAAATGTTACAAATGCTGTTGACAAAGTCTCACAGCATGCTGATGGTGACATCTTCTCCAGTAATTTTCATGTGAATGGTTCCCTCCTTACTGATAAATGAAATCGGCTGCTAATAACCGGCGGTGCGACCGTGGGTCTCATTCCAAACAGTTGACTATAAAACCCAAACTCTCCATTGTTCGGGCAGAGTGGTTAAAACAGTCATTGCCCATACTTGCCCAATGTTGTATTTAAAATTTTTACCCTGAAGTGTCATAACAAAGCACTCTGGTAGTGATGGAGTACATTACATGCACTACTCCCTTTTTCTGCTCAGCAAAGTTGTGAGCCAACCCAACAAAGGGTGCTTGAAGTTGTGAGAGAGACTTTTCGGTGAAACCTTCTTAGAAGATTTGCACAAAATATGTTATCAGGAACCCTTAAATCTTTTCACGCCAATCTCTTCCCATCACGATGCCAAAGTGGGAGCTAACATCGAAACTGAGGGCCAAGTCTACATATTCATAGGGCTGGTTCATACTTCAGGAAAACCAAAAAACGAAGTGAATTTGACGTTGCAATTTCGCTGGTAGTGAAATCCACTCGAGCTGAAATGTGTTCACACTTGGCGAATTAGCGGTGCGGAATTTTAATCTGACCTTGCAAATTTGCATCCATTTTCACTTTCCCTCAAAGTATGAACCGGCCGTAATGCAAACCAGTGCAAATTATTGAAAGACCAAATGGCCTTGAGGATTTTTGAACTTTTTTGTTGGAGCAGGTCACATATAAGATTGACCTGACTGACCATGAAGAAAGCACCATTCCTTGAACCAAATTTAACCAAACTTGACCACTGAATGAGAACATTGTTTGCCGCCAAATTCTTCACTTGTTAATATACTGCAACAACTATCATCCAGCACAACTGCTTCGTAAACAGTTCAAAACCAATGAATTTTTGATCCAAATGGGAAGGTTGAGTTTGTCTTTAATATACACAGATCATAAACCACACCAAGGAAAATACTCTTAAAACTTCTCATGAAATCAGGGGTCCACTGGCCAGGCAATAATTCCAAAACCATCCCAAAGTTGAAGAATGAATACCAGTGTGTTAGTTGAGACCTCTTTACGACCATCACAAGACCACACAAGACCATTTTATGACTAACCCAAGATCCAAGTCTGAATTCAAATCACATGCTATTTGAATGAACTGCAAGAAAACCATTCCACTGTCATTGCTCATCCTGCTTCGTATGACTGGTCTGTGACTAGTCGTGTCTAGTCTTGTGACTGGTCTGTGACTAGTCGTGTCTA